ACCATGACCAAGGACGCGTCCTGTTTATTTCATCCCATTTTCTCCTGTACACCTATATTTATACTTCTGAGAGCATGTTTTCAAGAAGCAGTCTCAAAAAAGCACAGATATATTTAAGAAAATGATACAGACCTACGTATTATGATGATGATGAAATAATAGTAACAAAGATCATTCAACATAGCATAGCCTTAGGTTCTGGGATCGTGTATTTGTCTTGAGGGGGGGTGTGGACTCATTTTGTGACAATCAGGATACTAAAAATACTTAACAGCTGAAAGTGCAAACTCTTCACAGTGGTAATTTAAAGTGAAAAATGATTTCACAAAATAAGACTTCACTCTCTGTAGTCATTGTGTAAGTTTCTGGCACTTAAAGGTATATTTTTAGTGACCTGTGATTTTTTCCTACCTCTTTGGAGAAGAGATGGTACATTATTCAAATTTGAGAAATGCTGATTATTATAAAGCATAATGTAAACTGTATAAAATATCTGTGTCCTAACAGAATAAAAGTTCTTCCACAGCAAAAATAAATAAATAAATAAATAAATAAAACTTGAGATTTGATAGACTCAGGGAGTCTTTTTTTTTTATTTATTTATTAATTTTTACATTTATTTAGTGTGTGTGTGTGTGTGTGTGTGTGGCCAGCTCAGCCCAGCAGGGGGTGGGGCTGGCTGGCATGTGGTGCTGGGGGATTGAACCGCGGTCCACTGTGCTTTGCTAAGCTTGTTCTAAGTAGGTGCTTTAGACCACGGAGCCATCTCTCCAGCCCCTCAGGGAGTCTTTATAAAAGGTGTCTTGGCGTAACTGACTCACGTAACAGCTGATTATACATGAAAGGGTGAGAGACCCAGCTCAAACCTAGCACTCAAAGGAAGCAGCCGCTAGTGCAAAAGACAGCGGTCTGCATGTGCCTTGGGATGCTGGGATTTTCACCCCTCCACTCTTCCATCACAAGATTAAACCCAACAGACTCTTGTGTTTGTACCCAAATCTCTATGTGCCAAATTAGTCCCTGCTTAAATGCCACCAAGACTCAGTTGAGATGAGACAATCAAGTTCTTAATTAGATAATTGCCAGTAGGTGACTGGTATTTGTTTATTTGCTTCTGAGACTGGAGCAGTCTATTACAGATGTTGGCAGCGTTGGTTGCTTGGGCGTGCCCATCCGCTCCTTTTCCTGAACTGCCATCTTTTATATTTGTGTCATCTGTGTGTGTTGACTTGTCAGTGTGAGCCTGGATCTGGGCGTGAGTTGAATACAGAAGGGGCTCAGGAGGGCTTTGGGTCACACGGGTAATGGGTGGAGCATGAGAGGGTCCACTGGTTAGCATGGGTCCTTGCTTTTATTAATGATAGAAATTAGAACTAAAGCCCGAATTCTCAGGAAAGAGCTTTAACTGGACAGCAAGAGAAGATGGTAAATGATTGTAACTGGAGGAGCTGCCAGGCATTAAGTTCTCCTCAACAAAAGAGGTAAGAGAGAGTAGAAAAGCTGGGGTGGGGGGCAATCTGTGGAGGGGAGCAGGGCCCCCACGCCCCAAAGCAGGAGGCCAGCTTTTAAGGACTACCCAAGGCAGCTATGGTCTGGCAAATCATTACCTCAGTTGTGATCCCCAGCTCAGGCTGAATCTTGGATAATGTGTGGCAATGCTGTTCCCAGGGGAGAAGCCTCATGAATTGAGGGTTAATTAATTCCCATAAAATGAACTTTCATGATTTAAGGGATGATTTCAGTCACCTGAGTCTCTGCTGGAATCCAAGGTGACTTTAGGTTTACAGGATTGGAAATTCTGGGAGTCCCTGAATCTCTGTAATTCATAGAACTTGGTAGCCACAGTACTGAAGGGTAATGAAATAAGCTAAGCAAATTTAGGGCTAGTAAACCTTGTTTTGCCAACTTTTAGGTAGACATTCCCTAAATTGTTAGCATGCCTATAAGCAAAACCAAGGTTTTGCCCCAGAGATTTTCAAAATGAAGTTCAAGCTTTGTTCTACTTTTGGTTACCTATGAGGTATTTGGAGGCTCAAGTTAAGTCACAGTTTTTAGCAAAAGCCACTTTTAAGTTCCTGCCTTAGGAGGAAACACAACTCACTGTTTTAATGAGTAATGGATTAAGGGCCTAGGAGTTAGTCCTTTGTCCCTATGGTGGCTCCTGACATACCAGGTTATGTCACGTGTAGATTAGTTCACATGCATCCCTGGTGCCAGGAAAAAACAAAAACAAACAAACAAAAAAAACAACGACATGATGGGGATTTGTCAGCTAAAGGCCCTCTTATTCATGTCCACCTCATCTGCAATTAGACCTGTCCACACCGGGGGTGCTGTAGGTGTGGCAGGTCAGATGAGTGGGGTGTACTATGTACTGTATTAACCTCTAACCCCTCCTCCTCACTGCTGGAGATTCAGCTCAGGGCCACTTGCATGTGAAGGGTGACTTTTACCCCCAACTTCATCCTTCCCTGATTTTTCTTGTTCTCTCTGCCTTCAAGTGCAAGAAGGGAACCTGAGTGAGGGGTGATTTCCTTAAGCTGTTTTGTGTTGATTTAGTAGATTAAATATTCAAGTTTCTGATTTTATGAATACAAGCTTTTCCTTTGCTTTTGTTTTTTGAGACAGAGTCTTGTTATACAGTTCAGGCAGGCTTTGCACTCACCATGTAGCCCAGGTTGGCCTTGAACCCATCGGAAGCCTTCTGCCTCAACCCGAGTGCTAAGATTACAGGTGTGTGCTACCACGCCCCACTTGGTACAGCCTCTTCTGTCTACCTCTAGAGTCGTACCACAATGAATATTTTATGTATTTTTGGCTCTGAGTAATAGTACTAATTATCAAAATCCTGGCCTAAAAATTCTTAAATGTTCTATGTACTATATGTTTCCTTGTTCGAGTAACTACACATCGATAATAATTTAGGTACCCATCAAAAAATAATTATTTTTAGAGAAAAGAAAGGAGTTGGTATCTCTGAAAGTTACTATTATTCCATAGAAAAAGATAGGATTTTTTTTTTTTTCCTTTTGTGGAACTGGGGATTGAACTCAGGCCCTTGCCCTTGCCAGGGAAGTGCTTATTCCACTGATCCATCTCCCCGGCCCCAAGAATTTTTTAAAAGGTAGATTGACATGTTTGTGATTTTATTTACATTCACAGGATTCTCAAGCACTAACTTACAATCCACTTGAGTTCTTAGAGAGCCTAAAAGAATCTAATAGGAAACCTATTTCGGCAAATAGCTTTTAGAAGAGAATTTACCACAAATTGAAGTTTATTTTTTTCTTAAACTTGAATAGCCAAGGAATGGACAAGTTCTGTGGCACACTCATGTGTGTTCTTTGTCAGTGCTAGAGATCAACCCCGGGGCCTAGTGCATGTTAAGCACACACTCTAGCACAGAGCTATATTTGCAGTCCATGTGGCATGTTTTAAGGATGTAAGCAATTTATAACATTTCTATATTTACCTTTTTGTGCCCTAAAAGGATATTCTACAATTTTTGAGATTTTTTTTTTTTTTCAGTGAAATGAGGTTTCTCCAGAAATTTGGAAACAGAATAAAACACACTTGGGACTTCAGTTTCGAGAAGTAATTTCTTTCTCTTTCTTTTCTTTTCTTTCTTTCTTTTTTTAAATGTATTTGGTACAGGGTCTCACTATGCAGCTCAGACTTGTAGTGATCCTCCTATTTTCAGCCTCCCCAGCACTGGGATTATAGGTGTGTGCCACTACGCCTGGCCTAGGAGGCTGGCTCAGTGCGCCCAGGGGTGGGGTGGCATGGCAGGTGGGACCAGGATCTAACTCCGATCCCTGCACTTACCTAAGCAGGCACTTAGTCCCCTGATTGAGAAGTAATTTCTATTGGCTTATTGTGTCTTCCTGTTTTCTTTTTCTTTTTCTTTTTTTTTTTTTTTCATTTATGTATTTGGTACAGGGTCTTGCCATACAGCTTAGACTCGTAGCGATCCTCCTGTTTTCAGCCTCCCCAGCACTGAAATTGTATTGGTTTATTGAAATAAACAGTTAATGCTTATCTTTTTTATACTAGTTTTACATGCTTACAATTGGTAATCTGAACGACTGCTCTGAAGCTAACAGTATGCAATATATAACAGCCATTGTTGATTTCCTATCTTGCCTTGAAATCCTGTATCATTTTTAATGTTTTTTTAATTTTTTATTCTCTTGAAAATAAAGCTATCATGGGCTGGTGAGATGGCTCAGTGGTCTAAAGCACCTACTTAGAACAAGCTTAGCAAAGCACAAGGACCACAGTTCAATCCCCCAGCACCACACGTCAGCTAATCCCGCCCCCTGGTGGGCTGAGCTGGACCCACACCCCCCACACACAAATAAATAAAATTAAAAAATAAATAAAATAAAATAAAGCTATCAAAAAGCTAGCACATGAAGTTCTCTGTTGTGCATGTGACATGCGAGGAGGGGCTGTTCTTGAACGCTGACAGGTCATCTCCTCAAGTCTCAGGGGTTCGCTTGAGCCCAGGTTCTAAGACCTCCATTAAGGAGCATTGGTCCCATATTCAGGGAGTAGGTCATCTACTCTTGTGGCTTTGGCAAATTTCCTGGTAAACATAAACCAACATTATCTTGAAGATGTATGTTCTCTTGGCCAAATGGAAAGCGTTAAATTTTTCTGGAGCTTCTCTTTCATGCCCTTGCTTCCCACTGTTAACATGGTGAGTGACTGATTTTGATGGCAGTTTTATTTCACTTTGTGTAATTTTTTCAGAAAATATTATCTAAAAAAAAAAAAAGAAAATACTAAGTACTTGGTATATATTGGACACAAGTATATGTATCTTACACGTTCATGTCACATTTGGAGGAAATTAGAGCAGGACAGTCGGCTTTGTTGCTAACCAGTCAAATTATTTAACTTCTAAAAGAAATCTAGAAAGGACATGTTTTCTTATGGAATCAAAATAGCACTATTCATATCCACTGTCTTAGGCTTCCCTTCTGCTTGCTTTTCAGAAATGTGAAAATAAAAACTGGTGAATGGTTCTTTGAGGAGCGAGCCAAGAAGTTTCCTACTGAAGGTAAACAGTCTTAGAACTCCCTTTCAAGTAAACTGATGCATTCCTAACTTTAAAATGTTTGCCGCTAAGACTTTGATTATGAAAAAACATTATGGTCTTAGAAATGTCAAAAGACAAAAGTACGATTAATTTTCTTATGGTTCTAACAGCTTTTTCACAACTCACGAGTCAGGCACCCTCCCCTGTAAAAAGCAGAATGAGAGCTTGCACTGGGGGACAGAAGCACAGTGGGATTGTAAGGTGGGGACAGGAGCATGAACAGCGGAGGAAAGGCCGAGTAGCTAACAGGTTACTTCCAGTTATCTTTTGTATTTTTTTTTTTTAATTTTAATAAGGGTCTACAGGGTCTCACCACACAGATTGGGCTTGTAGTGATTCTCCTGTTTTCAGCCTCCCAAGAGCTGGAATTATAGGTGCATGCCACCACGCCCAGTCTCAGTTGCCCTCTCAGCACACCCTGGGGCAGGGCCAGCATGGCAAGCTGGGTGTACTTGTTTTTGTATATTCCTGGTCCTCCTTACTCCAGAAAATATAGTGCTCCTGCAGAGGTCATTGGAAATCTGAAGGAAAATAAGATGCTTGGGGAAGAGAAGAAGCAAGTGCATCTGACTTGGTCAAAGCCCTGTCTGAGCCCCTCCCGGGTTCTAAGCACCCTCATCAGATGTGCTTTCTTAATTCGGCGCCCCACATTTTTTCAGGCCAGGTACTCACATTCACATGCTGAGGCCTTCTGAACAGCCACAAACCCCTCGTTGTAACAGCTAAGATGTGTCTGTCCACCAAGTACCAATTTCTGCCTTAAAAATTGCCCCTCCCCACCAACATTGAGAACATGTAATTGAGGCAAAGCCACACAACAGAGGCTGTTGATGTTATTTATTGGTCGGCTTCATTTTTTTTCAAGCTGTTTTATTTGTTGGGGACCTACAGCCTTTATCCGGTGGTGGATAGAGTCTCATATTCTCTTTGCTGTTTTTGTCTCTCTCTCTGTCTGTCTCACCCCACAACCTCTCTTCCTGTCTTCTTTCCCTCCTCTTTTCCTCTCCCCCATTCCTTGTTCAGAAATTAAGACTGTAGAGAAAAAAATTTGTGATTTCTCAGTACCAAGATATCTTGAAAATGTTTTAGACATTATTGCATCATTATGTCATATAAGTGAATTAATTTTCAGTCTAGGATGTGTGTATGCACATGCGCATGAACGTGTGACTGTGTGGGCGTGCCCACATGGTGCGTGTGTACGTGTGTGTGTGTGTGTGTGTGTGTGTGTGACTGGGTATGAGTGAGCATAGGTGTGTATGTGTTTATGCACCCGTTATCTTTTTAGCACCTCTTCCTCTTCTTATCAAGTGGAAGATGTGAGTTACCATGGTAACTTGCTGAGATAAAAAGGGGAAGTGGAAAGAGAGAAAACTGAATTCCAGGGTTCCCTTTCATGCCTAGCAATGTTCTACAAGAAAGAAAACATCAATCAGGAAAGAAGCCAGGCGTGCTGGTGCGTGGCTGTAATCCTAACCCTCTAGGAGACTGAGGCGGGAGGACTGTAAGTTCAGACCCAGCGATTTAGCAAGAAGCTGTCTCAAAATAAAATGAAAATCAAAAGGGCTGGGGATGTGGCTCAGAGTGAAGGCAGCCCCAGGTTCCCAGTGATGATGATGAGGAGGAGGAGGAACAGCAGGAGGAGGAGGAGGAGGAGGAGGAGGAGGAAGAAGAAGAGGATGAGGAGGATAATATGAAAAGAAAAAGTTAAAGAAAATCAATTTATTTCTTTTGCTAATGTTATTTCTGCCAACTTATATAACAGACACCAACAAACTAACAGAAATCCCCCCAATTTGTTCTCTCCAGAGCCTCCTCAGATGCTGAGGTGCCTCCTGTTCTTTCTGTCCTGCATCAGTGGCGCAGGGTTTAAGAGGCACAGAGAGGCAGAAAACCGCCAGGCAAGGACAGCACAGTAGTTTTCGGAGCCAGAAGAGGTGGGAATGGAATTTGTAGCAGGTGACCCAGGTCAGGTAACAAGAGTCACCTGCTGAAGGCTTGTGAGGCGTCCATGGACAGGCAGAAAGCCACCTGACTCCTTCCTGTTTCTTCCACTAAAGAAGAACCTGAACAACAATGGACAGGTGGAAGTAAAGGTGGGCGCTGGGCAGTTAGGGTCTAGTTAGGAAAATAGAAACCATGTGGTAATTTGAACAGTGAGTATTGAATGCAGGGTTGGTTAAGCAGATCCTGTGGGGGACTGAAAGAGAAAAAGGGAACAGTGAGGGGTCACAGAGAAGGTAACTGCAAGAAGCAGGCACCCAGCTGCCCTGGGAAGGCCGGGCAGCAGGGGAATGGGAAGGCCCGTCCCCCTGTCCATCCTGTCCCCTGGAACCCCATTGTACCTTAATGGCAATCTAGCTCAGCTCTGATGTGTGCAAGAAAGCAATGTGATTTTGCTGTTCCTATATTCTTTTGTTGTAATGATACAAACAAGGCTTTTTCCAGCCTCTCCCTCCTAAATTGAAAAATGGGATGGTTTAAGCCATAAAGCCTATGAGGCAATTCAGATGTGTGACTCTGTAGGAAGCTGGTTATCTATTCTTTCACAGCAAGTACCCATGACACTTAGTGGCTTACAACAATTACCACTTTCATATTGCTTTTGTCTTCAGCCTAAGGCTGGGACTGGAGGCTCTGCTTCCTCAGGGCACATGCACACTCCTGCAGAGTATCGCTGCTGCTGGTGGGAGGACTCAGTTTCTGGCACGGTGGCTGTTTCCATGGGGCTGCTTGAGGGCCCTCATGACCTGGTGGTTGGGTCCCCCAGGCGTGTGATCCAAGAGTGAGAAAGGCAGAGCACTTTGGTTTTACTTATTTAATTCGTGGTTCTGGTAATCGAAGCCTGGGTGCTTCACTGCCGAGCTGTGTCCCCAGCCCTGCAAGAGCCTGTATCATTGAGCCTCGGGAGGCACAGCCCGTCCTTTCTGCTCTACCATATTAGCCTCACAGGTCAGCTGTAGACAGGGAAAGAGCGGTTACACAAGGGTGGATCAGGAAGCACGAGCAAGGGGCCTGGAGCCGGCTCTCCTGCGATCTTCCTGTGAGAACAGCACGCCTCCCTCCCTGCCTCCCGACCCCCAGCTCCATGTAGGGCACTGGTCTTCCTCATCCGCCAGCACATGCAATGGGCAGGTCCTGAGGTGTGCTTTCCTTGTCTGTCTCCTCTGCCTTTCATTGCCACTTCCAAAACAGCAGTGAGTTCCTAACTCCTTCCTCCCACCTTCCATCTTCTGTTCTGCAAGGAAGTGCTTACTTTTCTCTTCCAAAAGGAGCCTTTATTTTCTTATGCTAGAAGCAATGCGCACATTGCAGGGTATTTGTGTGGCTCTTTGTAGGAAGTGTGTTATCTGTATGGGAAATAGAACAAATTGCAGCAGGCCAATAATACCGCTGTGATCCAGTCCCCCATCCTGCTCCTTTCTCTTAGGTATCATGGGCCTCGGTGTAGACTCATGCATTTGCCAGTGCATTTATCATCAGACTATATATAGTTTTATTTTTCTGGGGCTGAGACTGAACTCAAAGCCTTGTGAATAAGCATGTTCTCCACCTCTGAACTACACCTCCGGCCCCTATGTGTAGTTTTATCTTTCTTTCAAAATTCAATTTAGTATAAACACTTTCCTATATGACTAAGATTTCTTTTGAAATACACCTAATGACTCTGTAGAATGTTACATTTAGACATTACAGTTTATTTAACTAATCTCTTATTATCAATAGCTATGTCATTTGATTTTTCATGTTATAGATAACTTTGTAATAAATGTGTGTGTATCTTGGCAGCTCTGTTTACTTCTTTAGGACAGATTCTCTCTCTTTTTTTTTTTCCGGAACCAGGGATTGAACTCAGGCCCTTGTGCTTGCCAGGGAAGCACTTATTCCACTGAGCCATCTCCCTGGCCCCAAACAAACAATAGTTGGGTTTTTTGTTTGTTTGTTTGTTTGTTTTTGTTATTTTTTTGGTGGTACCAGGGATTGAACTCAGGCCCTTGTGCTTGCCAGGCAAGGACTTACTCTACTGAGCTATCTCTCCAGCTCCCTCGGACAGATTCCCACAAGAACTGTGATTCAAATGTCTGCACATCTGCGTGGCTTTTGATATGTTTTGCCACATTTCTGTCTAGGAAGGCACAGTCTTTTATATTCTGGCTGAGTACATGAGCTACTTTCTCCCCTCCACCCCCTGCTCAGGCCCTCATTATCTTTTTTTGATATCAAGACTTGAACTCAGGACCTTGTGCTTGGCAGGCAAGTGCTGGGCTGCTGAGTCATATCCCTGGCCCCTCATTATGTCTTTGTCTTTTTTTGGTGGTGCTGAGGATTGAACCCAGGGTCTTGTGCATACAAGGCAAGAACTCTACCTCTGAACCCATCCCCAGACCCTATGTCTTTGAAGCATGATTTCCAATTATGTTTGACATTTTGTTTTGAACATAAATGTAATGTACATTCATTTAAAAATTAGAAAATGAGACTGAGGATATAGCTCAAGGAAATGAAGAAATCGCAAAAATGTTGACGCAGTAACTTCCTTCAGAGAATAATTGTTAGCATTTTGTTATACTCCCAAAAGAACAGAAATACCTGTATTGTGGGTATGTATTAATGTACATATATATACATATTATATACATATATATTATATACATAAATATTATATACACACTTAAAAGTTGAACCATAGATTGAATTTTAAAGTTATTAGGTTAAAAAAATAATTAAATAGAGGGCAATTTAACAAGTCAAGCCAATGTATTTATGTGAATGGGATCAAGTTGTTTTTAGCTTTATATTGATATTTATAATAGTTTATAGAGAATATTTTCCATATGTGCAAACATCATTGATTGTGTGATTTCTGATGACTTCACCTAACTCCATCATCAGAAAGTGTTATCATTGGTTTCACCAACTCGTGATGGCTTGATGATTGTGGAATTTCCAACTTGTTACAG